TGTGCCACCACCACCACACCACAGTGTACAGTTATCTTAATCCATTGCAACTGTCTGATCTTCATGTCGCTCTGTTCTGGGATGCAAGCTCCTCCCCACTACCTGTTATCATTGTTGATGCGTTGGCATCAACCTTATTCGCAAGCTAGTGATATATATATATATATTTGTGATATCTATAAAACACAGAAATTCACCAATGGGTTACCTAGGGATCACACAATTCACCACATTGCCTTCTAATACCTCAAAGGATTAGACAGGCTTGCTCAGAAGGTACTGTCTGATCCCTGTTACCCTCTAAACTCTGCCTCAACTGAGTTACTTCAACCACCGCCAATTGTGAGAGCACCTACACTGATGTACAAAAGCATACAACTCTTCAGTAAATCCTTAACCTATCCGGTTTCTACGCCCAACGGACCGTTTTCTTCGTGACTTATCTACAGCACCGAATTAATTCCATAGACATAGTCAATTTCATTGCTTCTTTTTATTTGATGGGCATTTGATGGGTGAATCTGCGTCTTGGGGTGTAATAAGGCCAAATCTTGAGTTGAATTCACACATTGACACTTTAATGTGGTGGGTGATATACTTATCCACAAAGCCCCCCCCCCATACACTGTCGCCGATACTTTCTGATGAGAAGTTGAGTAAGGTGATAAATGATCAATTCCTGTAATAAAAAAAAACACTCGCTATACCCAACGGAAAATGAAAAATCTTCAACTTTATCCAAAATGGAACAGACCTTTACCATTACTCTAACGCAACGTACAGAAATGATCGCATGAGAGAACAAACTTTTTCGCTTGACTCAAGGTTAGGCATAGATTTTTCCATCCAAATCTAAAAAACAATTCGACGAATTTCTGTTCTAACTATTCACTTAAAAAGTGACACAGAATAGCAGGAAACATCGGTCAGTTGAATAACAGTTTCTTGCCTCATTCTCATAGTGATTTGGTGTATTCAGCTCGTTAGATCTGTACAAAAGCCAAATGTGAGCAGTTAGGAAAGCATAAACTGAAGTGGCAAACATTGTCTCCAAGCCGCATGCAGTGATTACTCGTTGTCACTTGTCTACCGCCTCCAAAAGCCTCAGTATGGTCGGGGGTGGGTGTCGGGTTGCGGCTGGTCACCCTTACCTTGCACCTCACGAACTGTTCCCATTAGACCAAGCGTCTCGAATAGCCTCTGCTGAGAAAGCCCTACTCATTGCCTTCTCGTGGCGGAGTTTTCCCACCAAAGTAAGAGAACGAAAAGCCAGACACCCGGGGCTATAACCGGGTTGGTGGACCACTGGTAGTTCACCTAGAGGAGTTGGCCTAAAACCCTGATTCCAAACCAACCAAGAGGCGTACAAACCACACCCATACCTTTCCGGTTTTGAGAGTGGTCACCTGCTCGATTGATCATTGAGGTGTATTGGGCACCTTGGACGTTTGACCCCGTCCAAAGGGTGAATGATCCAATGAACTAGACACCGGCTCCCAATGGACTGGAGTTTTCACACACCACCCGGCTGCCTCGCGGGTCAGGCTTTGGTTAACCGAAGGATCCGGTTGTGAATTCCTCAAGAAAATTCACGTGCTTTGGCAGTATCCAGACCACATGCAAATCGTGAAACGTTTTTCCTTTCCACAAAGATTATTGTACCATGATGTGTTTCGCACATAGTCTGGATTCAGACGTGTGTGAAAATGGATATATGTGTACATTTGTCTACTGAGCAAGAATCAGGTTTATTCCGCGACTCCAACGAAGTTGTTTCAGCCGCGAAATCTTCGAACGTGAACAGTAATTACTTTGTGTTCTGTTGTCCTATCGACGCAAGTGCCTGACTGTTTCACAATATATGGAACAAAACAAAACGTGCGAGAAGAAATCCGGAAGGACTTTTGTTGAAAAAGAACTACGCTCATTGAGATAATCCTTTGATGCGGTCATCGACGTGCTGATTCGCTTACCGACACAGAATACCGCTGACAGCAGGATTGAGGTGATTGCCCAGGAAAATTCCATGGGCGTACGTGATCGAAACAATGCCATTTTATTTCCAATTAATATTGGAATAAAGTGACCAATCAAAATCAGCTCATGGTAATCGGAAAGCGAGTTTACCCGGAGGAAAGGTCTTACCGCTTTATTTCCCGCTCCTGTTTCTGCAATTCACGTTCACGTACGTAAGCCGTGGGGTTGAACCGACGCACTGACCGTTCGCAACCTAGATGATCACAAAGTTGTACATAACTCCAGAGCAAAACAATGACGTTAAACAAGTTTAGACAAAAAAGATATCCTAGCTACTGTACGATATTCTTAATTCAAGGAAACATGCAGCATCGCGACAAACGAGACGATAGTCTCTCATTGAGCGAAAGTTATACAGAATGATGACCACTCTTCAGCACTATGTGTTAGCTTTCTCACAGTAAAACCCCTTGCGAAGCTTACATGAAAGACAACAGAGGAAACAGATGCTATCAAAAAACAAATGAATTATGTTAAAGGAAAACAAACTCGGTTTTCATTTAGGGTTTCCAGCCCAGACTGCACCTTAGCGAGAAACCATGAATTACTAATCATTATGGAGTTTTCAACCATTCTTCATCTGCATTTGGCAGCCGGTGAAAACAACTGCAGATCAGACACAAACACAAATATACATATGTACATTCACGTTTGCAACCATAAACAGTTCAAAAGTCTTATCACAATACAAAATATCCGAATATCGATGAGACTTCAACGGACTTACTGAGTGAAGTTCGATCCTTCGAACAACTCCGTGAACGCAGGGAGCAATCTGAAGGCTTGAACGAAGCGGTAGAAGGTTCTCGACTTCGAGAGGCATTATCCAATCTGTGGCGAACGCTGTCACTTACAGGAGTAACGATTGGACGACAAAGATGGGGACTGGCACTCCCGACACGGCGAATAGGAAGTGAAATACCTCTTGAGACAAAGTTTGATGAAGTTCTAACCGTGTTAGGATAGGCACCAGTTTTACGAACTCCCGGAAGCAGATCCAGCGAGCCACCGCGAGGTTGCGAATCACGACGACTGATATGTCCATATTGACCCGGTTTACTTCGATTATCGTTTGGTTGTGACCACTGATAACGTGATAAGCAAGCACTGGCAGCTCGAGCACCCAAAGCAAACGGACGTGACTCAGGCAGAGATGGCGGGCGCCTAATGATCATAGAGGGCAAAGGACATCACTTTAACACCAGGACAGAAACATTTTTTTCAATTTGCATCTTTTGAGTAGTGTATAAAGTCGGGAAAATGACGTTGAGGATAGAGCATATATCACAGCTAGGAAGGTAATAAGATATTGGATGCAAATAACAAAGTAATTCTTTCACATGATACAGCGCAACTTATCTCCGCGAGCTTGTTGGGGGCAACGGACCTCACTCATCCCAGTACGAGCTTCCAGGGTTATTACTCGGTTGGAAACTTTTACAACCTGATTGCTTGTTATATGAGAAGAATGGCGGATTCCGTTTGACTAGTTGATGAATACGACATATAGATTAGGAGTGAGCTGAACAGTTAGGAAGCACTAGATAGCTGGTTGGGTCTCATCACCAGCGATTCGAATCCATCGACAGCTGTCCATTGTTTCCTAGCTTTTCAGTTCTGACCTCATTTGCACGGCAAATTCACCAACTGATCAAATCAAATCTTGAATTCCTCTCATATAAAAATGATTCTTTTAATCTTCTTAAGCGATCTGTAGTAAAAAACGGAGTTGTATTCAAATCCGACAGCGATATTTCTCTTAATTTCGAGAAGGATCAATAACTTTCAACTACGTCCAACCAGAACGTGTATAAAATTTCCAAAAACGGAGCGGTTTTTAAACGAAGGATATTATCATCTGTGATTAAGGGCGGAAAGTTACGTGAAAATTGTAGACGAGAATCTCCATTTAGGTATCTTATCAAAGGAAAGACACACTTTCAATGGTAAACACAGTAAATCACTAAGGTTCACGACCATCTAACGATTCATTTTTTCATTGGATAACTATCCAGGTGCGCAGTGAAGCCTCCTCCGCGTAGTGAAGAAAACAGACCAATTAAGTGTTGTTGGTGAAAGTCAGTGTGATGAGACTAATTTGAAAACCAAAAACTCACAAGAAAGAGGGACCCAAACAGATGTTGAAAAATGGATACCTTTTAAAGGGTAGAACTGATTCCTGACCACTATCAGTGCTTTGTACTAGGAGATATCTGCATTCAACATCTTGGGTGTTCATTTTGAGAATGGATTACTGCACAGACTCCTGGACGAACTGAATCAACATTTTAATTCAAGTAACGTTGATTTCAGACATTTTAAGGCAGATATTTTATCAACTACCGTTCGTGAAACAGTAATGCTTCATGATAACATTTGGTCTCCATTAAATTGCATACCACTATTTGTAAGTACACTTCACATTATCATGCGAATTTTTTTTCTAAGGATTTCTACAAAAACGAACTTGACAAACTTACTGTCGTTTAAAAACTGATAACTCGTTGGTTAATTGTTCAATCCGTCGACTCAGGTTTCGCTGACAGGCCGTGGATGCACTCAATTCTGCTTGTAGGTGTGCTACCTCACGGCGGTAGTCATTTATTTGGCGTGAATTTTTGTTTTTCTCATTTAAAAGCTCCGTTTCCAGATTGTTCACCAACAGACGAATCTCCTCAGGAGCAATGGTGCCACGAAATTCATCTCCAAATCCATTGACATGCGGTCTTTCATAAACTTTGCATTGATTGCGATATGCAGTAAGCTCTTGCATTAGGGCCTCATTCTGAGCTTGAAGTTGAGCTATCCTGTCATAAGGCATGGTTACAAAGGCAGTCAGTGCGTAGTGAACAAAGCGAAATTTTCAAAGCTCGATGAATTGTTTTGGTTCCAGTGGCAAAACTAAAAATAAACGGGCGTACTTAAACTCTTTATGAACTATTGCATAGTACAGTCAAAATACTAGCAACGACTTACAGTGTTAAAGAAGCAGGAATAAGGACAAGTCATGAGGGGATATATTGAGGCAAAGCAGATATTCGCATATGAAACATTGAACAGACAATTCAAGTTTGCCTCAGTTACCCAGAACGATGAAAATTACAGTGGGCGAACACCATCACAGTCAAGTTATGAGGACCGGTAATCTGTGCTTGGGAACTTGAGATGTTGAACCACATAAGATCCCAGTAGAATAGAGGCGATCTTGAGCTGGACGGTGGAACAAAAGCAGCCAAAGTGGGTGGCAGTGGCAGAATTCGAATCTTAAACAGTACTAAGTGTAAGCCACATGCAGTGATTTAAATCGCTTAAGTATTAATATGCGTAAATCCGGGTTTCTCCTGATCAAAAATCTCGGAGCAAAAAACGGCTATTAGATCAATCTTGGACTGGCAAACCATGGGATCCTTGTGAACATGGAGAGAAACCAAGCCCTAACGGTTCTTAATTTGGTTAAGACCGGGGTTGTGGGTTGACCACTGGCTAACCTCGATCCAACGGAAAAACAATCTGCATTTTTTAGTGTGTGAGCAGTATATAAGAGCATTATCATACTGAAATACGGTATCATAATGCAATTTGTTAGCCAGTGGCGGAAGCAAACCTGTTCCAACGCTCTAACACATGCAACGGAATCATGTACATTTTCAAGTGTGACTAAACGCCTTCAGTTGTTGACTGAGAACACCTCTCAAACCATCGTTTTATATTTGTATCGTGGGTCAAAAGAGGATACCAGGAACAAAACAGAAAAAAACCGGCTTCGAGAGGGGGATAGAGGACAATTTATTTTTGTTTACTGCATGAATATTTGACTTTTTCTTTTTGATTTTTTAAAATTGCAAACAGATAAGAAAATATGCACATCAGTGACTTCCAATCAATGCCACATCCCGAATTGTCAGTGGCCAACAACAATCTGAATCATTGGGGCTTCTGTCGGAAAGTTCCAATTGAAACCAGATTCAAACACAATTTCTTCAAACCTCTCTGCCACGTCATAGCTTATCTAACTCACTGGCCCTTACTGTTTAAACCAATACCTGCAAATAACGCACAGTAGAGCAGATGTTACCCAGGGTTTCGATCAGGTATAGGGTGTCATTGCCCAAAGAAATTAAAGGCATAGGCTCCTGCCAATCCTGCAGCACTCTAAACGGAGGATGTAAAGCATATGCCATACAAAGCGATTTAGTTTTGAATCGGCGGCGCGTCTTCAGCGACTAAGATATACACGGTGTACGACTTTGTCTTCAAGATGAAGCCTGACACCAGAGTTTGGTAAGTCAAGTAACGATTTTTTATAAGATACCTATCTATCTGAGGCAACGTTGAACAGAAACAGAGAGATAGGGCAACCCGATTGGGCCCCAATAGTGACAAAAAAGAGCGTAAAAACACCATAGACCATAACCTTCCCCGAGAGCTAACTATACGGTGCTTTAGGATAGACACATACTTCAAAGGTACTCCGTATTGCAGCAAAGAGATCCGAAGAGCAGCTCGATCGATTGTGCTGAAGGCCCAGTTTACCTAAAAAACGTAACAATAGTTCGTCGCCTGTATGTGCTGCGGTGTTTCAACAGCTGTTGGAGTTATTCAAGTAGTGGACTAGGCAACCAATAGGATCCCAAGTGGATCGGTTTGGTTTATATTGGAAAATGAAGAATCTCGGGATCATTAAAAGAAATTATTTGAGGGTGGTAAGTTCTACCAGGTCATCATGATGCGCTCTGAGTGCTACATTTTTTTCAGCATACAATCCACTAACAATCGGTATTTTTTTCCTCTTAAGGATACGTCTCGATCTTTCCATGACGCTCAGAAGAAGAGTACAATAGCATTACGTTGTTTCACTCTGATAACTAACGTGCTACTGTCTTCGTGAACAAATGCAAAAGAAACAGGTAGTGGTGTTCAATTTCATGCCAGCAGATTGATACCATTCATTCTTGGTACCCCCAGAGTACCATGATTTGATTATCATGTTGTCCGACTAGTGATTGTATATATATATATATATATATATACAGTAAAATCCCTTCGTGGTTTTCCATTTTTTTATTCTTCTGTGTTACATTGACTACAGTACATACATAGATGGATGCAGCGAAATAACTCGGGATGCATTATATAAACTAATGTTCTCGGTGTTTTTATTTAGATTTATGAGAGAACATAATGCTTCCAAATTTTGGTTTATACCAAAGATCGCATTTCCCTTCTTGCCAACCAATTTACTTTATTTCTCAGGAGAGTTTTGCCTTTCAGTAAAAGAAAATGAAGCTCCCGCAATTCCAAGAAAAAAGAGATGAATTTAACTTATCCTACTTTGAAAACGTATACCTTTTAAAGAAATCAATCTCTCAAGTAATCTCCGTTCGACATGGTGGAAACCGTACCGTCAAACTTCATGCATTCTCAATAAAGTGGCCTCAGGTGTGACCCCAGAACCTAGGACTTCAAAGGTTATCGATAAGTAACATTACTTCGAAAGGAGAATAATCAGTAGCCATAACTAAAAACGATGTAACTAAGATATCTGGCAGATGATTATCTGTACATATGATTATTTATTACATAAGACAGTTACAAATATGATACCTCTGGTCATGAGTCAAATACATAAAACACTCCACTCGAAAAGAAACTGAATAAGGATAAACTTTGCGATAGAGCTTAACGTGAAGAGCACAATTTTCAAAACTCAGTCTAACGACAATCACAACTTGGTTAAACTCAAGTGTTTGGATACAAACGTCATCGATGTTATCACCTTACAGTGGAGCAAAATGAAGTGAACTTTACTGATCGCTGCAACATACACAAATAACGAACGCACAAGGTGAAAAGGGAATAGACCTGTTTTGGAGGAGAAAAGAAAATGAACCCTTACGGTCACTACACAAGGCGTATAGTGGAATTATGGAAACACCATACATCAGGCATTCTGATTATATAAGAAATGACAACAAGAAAACCACTGCTGTTAGTTCGCTGCCATATTCTTCAGTGTCTCCGATTAACCAGTTACGGAGTCTTTTGAATCCCAGAGTCAAACACTTTGATTAATCACTCTGGGCACTTCTTTATGCCTCGATTCCATGGTTTTGACCCCCACGTGATTTCCTCCAGCCCGGAGTGACAACTGCAAATAGCGCACAGCGTGCTACAAGACATCTCGGTATGCGCAAAACATGTCCCAAATAGCAAAGCGTAATCATTCATATTCGATGTGATAGTAAACTATTCATCGATCTATTTCCAAACGAGCGACAGCTCACTTCGGGGTGAGTAACCCGCTCACTCAATCCCACCTGCACCAAACTAAGCAAAAATTGACTACCGAAGACCTCGATGCATGTCTCCTACTCGAAAATCAATGGTCTTACAGCTGTAAAGCAGAACTAGTCCTACTGTGGCACAGTATAAACGACTTCTCAACCTAAGGTAAAACGTGTTATCGCGGTTAAGGGTGTTTCAATCCAGCATACGCCGTTCGAGTTTTGGAATTACCGGTAGTCACCATTACCGCGCTACCGTTATTCGTCATGCAACTGCCTAGGTAGGAGAAGCAATCAATCTCAGTCAAATCTTCACCATTTAGTTTAAAAGCAGGATTGGTTAACACTGTCTTACAGCATCACTTTACACTGGAAGGTGCAAGGTGCATACCGAATGGAGCAGCTCATCAATCTGTAAAGTGCGTTTTGCGTATCCTCCATGCATTCTTACAGATAGATGATGTCGTCGATTTACTCTAAGTCGCACAGCTGTTGTCCAGCCGCCCATTTAATGCCAAAATTGCAAAGATCACAACAAACAAATTCAATAACAATAGTGAAACAGGACACATCTGAACATCGCTGCTGGTAATGAGCGAGCTAATTAGTGTGCTATAAACCCTCATTTGATCAGAAATATTTGAGTACAATAGTCATAGTAAGTTGCCACACATTTTTGACACTCCGTTCAAACGAAGAAAACCGAAGAAGGACTCAAAGCTAAGCCAAGGGACACTGATATCGTTGGTCGATGGTGTGCAACACGACTGGAACACCTGACAGCAACGTGAAAATCTGATTAATAAACCCGCGTCCATGTTGGAATCCGGAAGTTGTTCCAGACTACTGGTCTCTAAAAACCGTTAGACGTCGAAATATTCCAGAAACCTAACATTGTGTTGCAGATTGGGCGGTGGTGGTCCAACGGTAAAGATCATCAAATTATCGTCCCAGGATTCGCGCATTCGAGTCTCACAAACATCGCCCTACATTTCCTATTCCCTGTGTGTTTTATGGCATGCCTTGTTTTGTCCACTCCTACCTTCCTGAAAATGGTATCATTATATATTCAATAAAAAGATAGAACTTGCCCTGGGGTGAGTTGTACAGTGGTTGCTTGATTACTTTATGAAAACTGAGGCGGTCGGTGATTCGCCCAAAGATTATGGAAGACGTTCCTGGAACTAGATGTCCTGCGGTAGGTCCACGAGATTATCACTCCTATCTTGAAGTGTGTGAGGGCAGCCTGTATGATACACCCACCTTTCTCTCCTCAGAGAGTGAATACAAGACCGCGAATTTGTTTCCATTTACGGATGAAATAACACTGTCCACGGAACTTCCGCTTTAACGAGGTAATCCGGTTAGCACCAGGCAGCTCAACCGTTCTGTAAAATACTCTGCCCCCCTCCCTCCGATCAAGTCGTTTTACCTACCGAGAATGGCTCATACTGTATTCTATTGCAGATTGTTTCACCAACCGGGATCCGCAGAAATGCGGTTTTTCTGTCTATTGTTTTCGTCGCTATCTATGGCA